TTTTAGGTACCATTTTTTTTGGCTAATGGCAGTATATTTGTCCTAAATTTGTGCCCGTTCCTTATATAGAGAGAATTAGTTTATTAGGGAACAAAAGTATAAAACATGCATCAGAAGAAATTATATATACATATATGAATGATAAGAACAAATTGATACAAAAATTTCAACTTCTTCCCAGGAAATCCCAGGATATTTTATGAATGACCTTGCAATCACTTCATCCACCTTGAAGAAGGGACCTTCTCCAGTGTGAAAGGCAGTAGCCTCTTTGTATCTCAAAATCACCCCACTGCCTATTACGGCAAGAGGTGAAAAATACCTTAAAGTCTGGGGAAGATTGGAATAAGAAAGAAGATAATTTTCATGGATATAGAATATGGAATGAGCAGAGCTGACATCTCCACTTATATAAGAAGTGCTATGAGATCACTGATGACTGAGAGGGGCAGGACCTCTGCTAATCCTCATCTGAAAGACGTCAAGCAGAGTACATTTTCCCATGATACCATTCTGACATTTGGGGTCAATCCTTTCTCCAAGTGAAAAAAAGTCACTTGCATAAATGCAACTTCAGTAGCACCTTGACAGTCCTTGGAAGTCATCCAAATGAATGCCAATTTAATGTGGTGAAGTCACCTTGTTAGACATTTATGGTGCAGGGTTGCTCCAAGATGTCTTTGTGGTGGGGTGCACTACTCATAGTTGAGTGCTGGTGAGAAGTACGTGAGTGATGCCCCCATCACAGAACAAGCAGCATGGCCTAAGAACATGGCTTCTAGATAAACACAGTCTGGCTTTATTCTCAATCTGTCATTTTGGAAGTTGAGTTACTTAGCTTTTTTGAGTCTTAGTTTCCTCATCTATGAAATGGGGATGATCATACCTTCCTCATACAGTTTTTGCAAGGATTAAATGAGATGGGGCTGTTTTAAATACCTGATGATTATTATGTGGGGTTTTTTTGTTTTGTTTTGTTTCCTCTATCTCTCCCATCCTATCCCCCATTAACATCTCATACCAAACTCTGGGGGTTTTTTTTTAGGACTTTCCTTTGAAAATTGTGCATGATCACTGATGCTATTTTTCCCCCATGGATTTTGCACATCAGTAAGGAGAATGAAAATGAAATCATTTCTCAGTTTCCTTCACACTAATGTTCAGTTATCCAGAGGGTGTCATATCACCAAATGTCAGTAAAAATAATAATATATAATGCATAATATATAGTATGTAATATATAATATATGATTTCATCTATCTCCTGGCTTTTTAATGATAGCAAATTTGTCAGCTTCATTATTTAACTGCATTTTCCAAATGTCCAAAATATCAGCTTTTGCTCCTCTTCTGAAGCAATCCTCTCCTCTCCATGTGACTATGAAATTTTTAAAAGGACCATACCTCCCCCTGCCCCACCCAAATCATACTCCTTTCTATGTGCTATTCTACAGAATAAGAATTCCCAGGGGTTACTTTCGAAACTTACACGTGCTGATGAATCTTATTAAACATGTTCTCCTTCCTCTAGAAAGATATCTACATCTATGGTGATATTCTTCAGATAACATTTATAAGATAGGAAGCATTTATATAAAATTTACCTCTGGAGAATTGGGTCCCTACATTCCCCATTCCTCTCTTAGATGAGGCTGTTATAAGACCACATCAGAGGGATCACACATTGCCTCATGGGTCACTGCAAGCCCTTGGCTTTTTCTCTGAGGGAAATGGGAAGTCAGTGGTGAGTTTTGAGCACATGAGAGACCTAATCTGACTTAGTGGTGCTGATAGCGCTTTTGTCACTATATCTGAATAGACTGTAGTAGAGCAAAGGCAGAAAAGAGAGAAGAGAAGTTGAGAAGGAGATGGTGGTGATTTGGACCAGGAGGGTAGCAGGAGAGATGGTGACATGTCCAGATTCTGGTCACATTTTGAAAGTCAAACCAAAAAGCTGTCCCAGTAGGCTGGATGTGTAGTGTGAGATGAAGAAAGCAGTCAAGGTTGATTATAAGGTTCTTAGCCTGAGCAACTGGATAGATGGAGTTCCCATCAGCTGAGAGAGGGAAGGGTGTCAGAACAGCTGGTTTAGGGTGGTAGATGAGGGCTCTAGTTTGAGACATGTTAAGCTTGAGCTGTCTATTAGACATCCAAGTGGAGAAGGCAAACAGGCAATTAGATATGCAATTTTGGACTACAGGAGAGAGGTCTGGTCTGGTGATAGAAGACCCTTAATATGTGCCCCTTAATATTTGTAAGAGGCTTAGCGCAATATCAGGTTCCTAGTAAGAAAGCAAGCAATGGTCATCATTAATATAATTCCTTCTCCTCCTTTAACCATGTCATTCGAATTGTCCAATATAACTACTGCCTACTGTATGTGTTTATACTCTGAGCTAACAATTAAATTTACAAAGCAATCCTTTCTTACTTTTCAGGTTTATCACTGCCTTGTCCCCATGCTACCCTTTGATGGGAAATTCCCCATTTTTCAAGTGCATTTTGTGGGGAGGGCATTAAAGTTCAAAATAAAGATTGAAACAATACTATGTGTGCTATAGTCAGTATAATTCTGGACAATGTCCTTTGAGCACAAAATGTTTGGCAGTAGGAGAAGTCATATAGAATGATGGTTAAGATAGCTGATTCTAGCATTGAAATTAACTCATATTCTAAAACATCACTTTGAATAAGTTTCTAATGTCTCACTTCTCCAATTCTCCATCTGTAAAATTGAGATCAGTGGAATTATGGAGAATATTAAATGGGGTAATAGATATAAAGTGCTTAGCACAATGCCAGACACAAGTAAGTTCTTATAATTTTCAGCTATTATGATGATAAGCAACTTTACTTTTTGTTTTCAGTTGTAACTAAGACTAAAATCTCTCCTATGGCTTTTCATTTACCACAGACTTTTCATTGAATACCTATTTCAATATATCACTTAAAATTTACAAGACTTAGGGCGCCTGGGTGGCTCAGTTGGTTAAGCGACTGCCTTCGGCTCAGGTCATGATCCCGGAGTCCTGGGATCAAGTCCCACATTGGGCTCCCCCTTCTCTGTGGGGAGCCTGCTTCTCCCTCTGCCTCTGCCTGCCACTCCCCCTGCTTGTGCTCTCTCTTGTCTCTCTCTATGTCAATTAAATAAAAATAAAATCTTTAAAAAAAAAATTTACAAGACTTAGTCTCAAGGCATTAGGCCAAAGGAAAGAAAAAGACATGAGGAGCAGAAATAGGAGTCTGATCCAACATGTTATTGGCACCTTCATCCCCTGCTTGTCTCCCCGCCCACCCCCAGCACCTTGCCCATATTGGTAATTAAACTGAAGGAACTGACTTAAAAGAAACACACTAAACTTCCCTCTTCCCTCTTATGTTATTTTAATTGTGTATATTTTGTTTTTAAGCATGGTTCTTTGGGGGAAAACACAATGTGTCTACTATAGAAAAACACATATTCTTTTAGGCAAGTAATTTTAGAAGCAAAAGACGGTCTCCAGGGTAAGAAGATGGAAAAGTAGTTGTATTAGCAGAAGATGGCACAGAACGAATGCACATTTTATAGTGTAAAAGAAAGATATTTTAGCCTCCCTGCCTAAAACAACACTTTGCACTATCAGTTATGCTGAATTGTTGAATAGAATAAAACAGAACCAGCTACAATATGACTGCTTAGAGTGAAAGTCAATAGTCAACTCCTAGGGAGCATCTCGCACTCATGACACACAGTGGCTTAATTGGTCTTCCTATGGTTTGGAAGAAAGGCCTTGAAAATAATTCTGACCTCTTCGAAGCAAATTTATAGACATATAACAGTGCTTTAATCCTTGCATCCTGGAATTGCCAAGGAAATAGAGTATCAGTAGATAAAAGCCTAGTAAGACAATGATCATCTGATATTCCAACTCTGTGCCAAGCCAATTTGGGATTTCAGTCATTTCCATTCTCTGCACCCTGAACTCCCTTCACACAATGTCTAAAGGGTGTATTTTTCCTTCACATTTTTTTTCCATATTGTCTCCTGATTTTCTTTCTTTCTTTCTTTCTTTTTCTTTCTTCTTTCTTCTTTCTTTCTCTTCTTTCTCTTCTTTCTTTCTTTCTTTCTTTCTTTCTTTCTTTCTTTCTTTCTTTCTTTCTTTCCTTTCTCCTCTATGTGTCTGAATCTCTACCATGGTATTTTGGGGGTTAACTTCATGCATCCCTTTTTACTTGTTATGATCTAAATTTCTTGAGATCATCTCCTCTTGCTCTGGACTCTGCTTCACCTCTGTAGCTGGTGCTTCTCTTACACACCTCTCTTTTCCTGTTCATTTACATAGTCTTACATCATCAAACAGTGCTATTCTTACTAAGATCTCTAAAGAAATGAGAAGACATCCATAAAAATTATCACGAAATGATAAATTCTATTTAAAAACTAGGCACGCCAGAACACAAATATCTGTAGGAGTGTTGCCCCTTTTTGAAAAGTTGCAGTGATATTCACAAATGATGATATATCCCAAAATGACATTGGAATTAATTTTGGAACTAGTTTACGATCTTCACAAGAAAATCACCGTATTACCTTACCTTAGCTTCATATTTTACCCAGATTAGTATTACTCACCTAATTCACCAGACTGATGCCAAATTCCCTTTGATAGCTTCCAGAGTTCATAGCCTTACCACTTCTGTGAAGGATTTTCAAAAGGAACATATCCTGAAGACAAGTCTGAAGGAGAATTACAAAATTGTTTTTGAGTAACAGAAGCATAATTAAAATGTCTTCGTTCCCAAGTACTTTAGAAGGGAAAACTCCCTTTTAGATAAGGGTAAATTCCCTTATTTCTGGTAACACATTGCATTTACTATTTTATAGTTACATCATAAGAGCCAACTCAAAAGTTCTGTTACTTTAATTATGTTTCAGTACACAGTGCACTTAGAACTTTTAATCTGTGTGTGTGGAAGATACACTCTTGATAATAACAATGTGTCTGTCTTATTGTCTCTAGGACTATACTTGATAAAAAGGAACTACTAGAGTTTGCTCAACTTGGCTGTTACTTGGAATATGATCTCTTTGGGACCGAACTCCTTCATTACCAATTCAACCCGGATATCGACATGCCCGATGATAATAAAAGAATCAGAAGGTAAATATGATGAAATCTCTGATAGCATTCCCTTTTACCAGCCCTTTTTGATTCATATCTGGGCGGGTATTAGCAAAGATTCAGAAAACAGTATGCAGGCGGAACCAGAGACTTGCAGAAAAAAAGTATCAATGCTGTTGCAGGCAGAAAATCTCTATATATTATTTCAAGAAGCAAATGAGTCATCCTAAGTAGGCAAAAGCTTAGCAGAGCCTTAGAAGTTCAGTGCAGATGGGCAGCTGACAAGAAACAGATAATACTTAACCCCTGCCATGACAATAAGAGAACAAAGATGTTTTCCTCTTTTTATCCTTAATCAAGTAAGCTGTTTCTTTCCCATGTTGCCCACACTGAAGCCCTCACCCCCTACAATGAATTTCTAAAATGCTTTATAAAAAATATTCACTACGGAGATGATTGAAACTTAAATGCTGTAAGTCGACTGTCTAAAGATGAAACATCATAGAAGATCTAACCCCTCAAAACTGTCTAAGCGAATAATTGTACGAGTCATTCTCTGCAACCAAGTGGAAAATTTGGGGGGTCAAGGGTGGATGGCTACCGGTTTGTCTTGGTTACGTGGCGATGTGAACCCTGAATGCACCAAGTTAGGGAATCTGGCAGGAGAAACAGATTTGGGATTAACAAGGATGCCAGGTTTGGGAGCATCTAAGAGTTGCTATCCAGTGAAGCCATGGATAAGGGCATGAAGCTCAGGGCAGAGATCTGGACTCAGACATAAATGTGGGCATCTTCGGTCTGTATGTCATGGTCGGCAGCGTGAGAGTGAATGAGATCACTCAGAGAAGACAGTGAGGACAGAACCCTGGGGAACACTGATATTTAAGGAATGGACTCAGGAAGAGTCACTCAAGGACAGACTGAAAAGTTTTCCAAGTGAGAAGAATATCCGGGAAATGTGTTGTGGTGAGAGTCGGTGTGGGACAATGCTTAAAGCAGAAGGGCTTGGACACCTGAGAGGTGGCAGGCATCAAGTGAGGTAAAGGCTGAAAGTGTCCACTGGATTTCAGAGGCTGGAGATTCTCTTGCACAGTCAGGAAGTGCAGTCTCCATAGACAAGGCTTGAGGAGTAAGGAGGGGGTAAGGAAGAGGAGAGAGAATATGGAGGGTACTCTCTCAAGAAGCTTGGTAGTAAAGGGAAGCAGGGGTGTAGGGCCAAACAAGAAGCCACGGCAGGATCAAGGGAAGGTTTTGTTAAGAGTTGAGCAATGTTTATGTGCCTGAGAGCAAAAGCAGAGAGACAGAGACAGAGACAGAGGCAGAGACAAATCCCGGGAAGCAGTACTCATTCTACAGCGCTGTTACGGAATTTATATGAAATAAAGTATGCAGAGTTTTTATGTGAGTGTCTGGTGCAGAATATGAAAATAGTCAATCGATGCTAACTTAAAACAATCTGCAGAGAGGAGCTACAGAGCAAGGCTTCTAAGGAGACAAACAGATGGAATCTGAGAAGCAAACAGAAAGTCGGTTGAAAGGGATAAGGCAAGCAATGGGGTGAATGCAGAGAGATGTCGAGGTGAGAACAGGAAACTGAGGACATATGGCCACCCATGTTCGGTAGTGTCCCTGTGAAGTAGACTTGGTTATCTTCTGAGAAGGAAGGATCAGACTCAGGGCAGGACCTCATAGAAGAGGAGAGAGGCTGGGATCGGATGCTGAGGCAATGCAAGAGACACTGATGGGACGTGTCGTGTGTGAGACCCACGTGAGGCTCAAGGTCATGACTGCATGACTGCACAGTGGCACCAATGCACACGATGTGGTGATTATTTCCACCCAAAACGTTGTGTATTTTGGTAGTAAGACCAAGGAAGCTTTGAGGAGAAGCAGAAAATGTCAACAGTTAGAGAGAGGGTTGGGGTTCTGTCTTCGAAAACATGGCTGACAACTGGGGGAACAGGGGTGGGGTTGAGTGAGGGTCACGAGGTCCAAGATGGAGGAAAGAAGGTATAGAGGAAAATGGGAAGATACAGCAATAATATAGCTTGAGTGAAGTGGGAGAGTGTACCCAGAAGGAGGTGAGTGAAAAGGTAGAAGGATGTAACCTGGGGTCAGAGTGGGGAACTGAAGATCGAGATTTCAGAGAGGAAGTAGTCTGCTGTGATGACAAGGCCCAGAAAGTGGTTATGGGTGTAGAAAACCATTTGGAATACGAGTAAAGAAAACTGACCTACAGAAGGGATGTCCAGAAACTGAGGCTCAAGCAGCAATAGTAGGACATATACACACACGGGAGTTGAGGGAAAGATCTAGAGCCGGTGGCCACAGTTGGGACAGTCCTCAGCTCTTACCCTGGGCAGTCAACCTTTACATCTGTGTGCCTTCTGCTGTCCCAGTGTATGGTCACTCCCCCTTGATGCTTCGAGTTTAATATCCTCAGGGAGAGCTAGCTGATCCATGTAACTCTAGCTATGTCAATATGGAGATGCTCAGCCATAGGTGAGAACTGACCTGACCAGTGAAGCTAGGTCTTTTAAAAATTTTTTTACACCACTGAAATCAGTTCTTTGATACACTGATTTATTGTTTCTTTTTTGTTTGTCCATTTTGTGTTATGATTTTAACTTATGTGCCCTAGGAGCACCATTCAGTAGAGGCAAACACGTGTCCCTATGGCCCCTGTGCCATACTCAGAGGTGAATATTCTCTGGAATTTAAAGTGGGCGGTGTTTTCTCATCTTTCTCATCTTTCATGATCTCAAAACCATGGTTTCCTGAGGAATGCCCTCAGTACACGTTTTATAATTCATCTTAGAAATAGGAAGTTTGCTTTTAGGACCTGCTTCCTTTTCCTAAGCCCCTTTGTGGCAGTGAGCTGTATCTTTTGTATCTTTAGAAGGAACCCTATGCCATCCATGAGGCTCCTGGACCTTGAATAAGAGAGAGGGGGTCTGCAGAGGGGTCTAGGAAGGAAGCATGGGGTGGGGGAAGGACAACCGACACCTCATCTCATATTCCTTCTTAGCAACTTTTGGCTATTAATTCAAGAACAAGAATTTCATTCTGATCAGCTTTCCTTGAACCAAATGTAAACATTCCAGATGTATTTCTATACAACAAAATATATATGTAATATATGTGTGCTTATGTCTGTCTATGTATGTATATATACCTAATTGTCCTTAAATGAAAATCATGCATTAGGTCACTTGACTTAAGTCCAGCTCACGGTACTTACTGAATTAACTTTCGGGACGGGGTGTGCTCTGGTACCCCCCCGCCTCCCCTCCTTTGGGCACCTGATTTTCATCACCCATTGGCAGTCCTTTTCTGAGCCTTAGTCATCTTATAGCTCTGAACTCCAAGAACATAGAAGCACGCTTCTGCCTACCTCTGGTTTTCAGCACCAGAAATTCTGTGTCTAACACCTGTTTTCAATCTTATGCTCCATTTCTCAAATCTTATTATATCTCTGCCTTTTCACACTTTGTAGTCTCTCTCTAATATTTGTTTGCAAAACACTAACTCATTTGTATTTCTATAATTACTGTCATATTTGTCTTCTCATCTACAGTGGTTCCTTCCTTCTGCCGGCATCTCTGGAACTACTGTTCTTCCATACAATGGCACAGCACAAGAGAGGAGCTTTTATTCTAAGAGTGGCCAAGCTAGGGCGCCTGGGTGGCTCAGTCGGTTGGGCATCTGCCTTCAGCTCAGGTCATGATTGCACGGTCCTAGGATTGCGTCTCATATCCAGCTCCCTGCTCAGCGGGAGTTTGCTTCTCCCTCTCCCTCTGCCCGTCCCCTCTGCTCATGCTCTCTCTCTCTCTCTCTCAAATAAATAAATCTTAAAAAAAAAAAAAAAACTCTTAAAAAAAAAAAAGAATGGCCAAGTTATATCTTGATAGTCAGGAGATAATTATGTTTGCAGCACCATGGCAGTAGCTTTCTCATGAGAGAACTAGTCTCCACATGCTTGACTTAATGAGTTCTAAGGGTTCTCCTTTTTCAATGAGTATCTTATCCATTATACTCTTTCCTTACTACTTCACAATTCGATAACTGGGTTTCAGGGTATGGCACGAGGCCACATATGGGAATTTGTTTATTCATCTGTAATAACATGACATCATTTTTTTTTTTTTTACTCAGACAAGGAAAAGAGACAAAAACTTTGGGAAATGCTCAGAAAATAAAGGGGGGGGGAGGTGTACCCTAAAATTTCTGGGAATGTGATACTCCTTTTCAGTTGGTGATCAGGGTTTGTTAAACGAAGTTCCAGCAATGCATATGCATTCTGTCAAATCTTCCTCTTTTTTCATAAATGATGATATAACTCACTTAGAGCATTCCCTTAAGGAGAGTCTGTTCCAAAAGTAACGTCAGATCAGAGCTTTTGGACACTATACAAATTTTAAAGAGGTAAATATCCACGGCGGCACAAACAGAAGTCCAAGTACTTACAGGACACGTGTGGGTACACGTGACATGAACACAGATTTCTAGACAAAAAGGCTCAGGGTGGCTTTTCTCTGGCACTTGCTTTCCTCTGATCTACAAACACAAGATCTCGTCTTCAATTATAATTTTATTTTAAAATGTATGTTCTCGGAGGGCAAAGCTTTGTGCTTGAGGTTTTTGTGCAGTGGCCCACAATGTGCTTATTTTAGTCATTATTAAATATGACTCATGCACTGGATGGAAAGAAATGTCACAGAAACAAAAAGGATACCTTTTAAATAATTAGCCCTTGGAAGAAGGTGCTGTCCAACCATCTAGATTCATTTGGGAATCCAGAGACTGACAAGACTGTGTAGAGAATGCCAGAGAAAAGCATTGTCTCCAAGTTGCACCTCCTGCCATCAGCGACTGGTGGAAGTCACGACGGACAGTGCCCAGAGTCCAGACACACACAGATGGTAGCTGTCAGGAGGTGACTCACACTGTAGATTACAGCATTTAACAAAGCAGAGAGGACTAGATGTTTAGACAGAAGTGGGAAAGCCATTCTCTAGGCAACTGGCTATAAATTTAAAGGAACAGCTCGATATTTATAACAATCTTGTTGAGATAGAAGGAAGATAGAGTCAGTTGTTGTTGGTTGATTTAATCCAATGCTCCAAGACGACTCCTAAGTCAAAATTCCCATAGACTTTGAAGGGACCAAATACCTCAAAATACAGAGGTACCTTTGCTGACTCTTTAAAAATGACCATCTAGCTGATCATATGCCCTTCACTTTCAAACCAACAGATTTTACTCTCAGAATGTCTTACTTGTACGAGGATTCCCTTTGCTTCCCTGTTTTAATCACAAATTGCCATTGATTGTATTTGCTAGAAGAAAGGAAAGAGAGACAGAGAAAGACAGAGAGAGAATGGGATCTGGAAAATGGGTCCACTAAGAGAGGTATTTTAGAGCGGAGAGCTGGATACAAATCCAGAACAAAGTTACTTTGGGAAATGCCAAAGCGGCTGTTCATTGAGACTGCCTATTAGAAGCTGTTTTTAATGCAGTATTGCAGGCATTGTCATAAATACCACAAGCTAGAAATTTCTGTGTGCATGGAATAAGGATCAGGTTCCTACTAGGATGCAATACTATCTTTATCATCACCACGCAATATTAAGGGTCTCCCACTACACGTACCATAGCGGAAGGCAGTATGAGTAAAACGTTTAAAGCACCCTGATAATTTTAAATGTGAGACCAATGCCATATAATGAGTCAACATTTTTCACAGAGTGCGTCTTCTGGTGGATGAGGGCTATGAAGATCGAATTCTGATGGCGCATGACATACATACAAAGCATCGGCTAATGAAATATGGAGGTCACGGCTATTCTCATATACTTACCAACATTGTTCCTAAAATGTTGCTTAGAGGTATCACTGAGAATGCACTTGATAAGATACTAATAGAGAACCCTAAGCGATGGCTAACTTTCAAATAGGATGGTTGTTTATGAATTCACACCTTGAGCATAAAGCTTGCAAAGAACATTTTCCAGTGATTTCAAACCCACTGTGAGATATTAATCAGACCTCTCTGTAGGACTAATGGCGGGTCATTTCCTTTTTATGAGAATTAGAAGAGTTTTGCCTTCTCAGAAACCACTATTACCTCTGTACCTTTAGGAAATTACTGACCTAATTGAGCCCTATTGTTTTGCCTTCACAAAATAAATACAGAAATATCTATTTCCAAACAGTGATTTACAGTCTGTATCCCCTTAGTGGAGTTTTGTTTTGTTTTGTTTTCTTAATCTATCAGCTGCACTACTTGAGAAAATTTAAAGTGTTTCTAGTTAAATTACCCCCTTCTGGAGCAATCTAATGTTTCTTGTAATATTGATGATCCTACTAATTATCCTGCTGTTCTTTAATTAATGCTTAATGAATAATACGGTACTTTAAAATAGCTTCAGCAGCAAGGGAAGTTAAATTTTGAGGCTTTTTTTTCCCAAAGGATACTGTAATACAATTACCAATTCACAATGGTAAAAAGATTGTGTAAGCTTAATTATATGCTGTCTACTCTATCTATATTTACTGATAATAAATCAGTTTTGTTGCCTGTGGCTTCCCAGTATCCATTTTTGCTGTAAAACTTTGTTGTTTTAAAAAAATTGTATAAGGGAGCATGAAGACATAATAGTGATTTATAAAAATTCAATCATAAAAGTCAAAATATATTACATAATATAGTTTAATGAATCATTACATTTATAATAACAAAGGCCACAGTTTAATTAATAATATATAATGCAAAAAAAGAGAAATGTTTGCCTTATCTATATTCCCTTTATTTCCTTTACGTTTGGTTTTTCCTTGGGCCTAAACAGAGAAAATAATGCTTAGTTATCTGAAGAAAAGGTCAGATCTATTAGAAATGACATTCTGATTCTATAGTCTACTCTTCAAAAGGTACCCAGCCCTGATGTTTGGTGTAAATAAAGCCTTTTTAAAACCCACAGAAGATGTGCACTGCTGTTTACAAATTAATTTTTTGGTTGATTCCTCATTATGCTATTTGCTACCTCCCCCCTCCCCAAAAAATCTCCAAACCCTTGCTACCAATTCCTCTTTGATAAATATATATTGTTAAACAGAAATAAATCCATTGCAACTCCTTTATGAGTTATCCAACATATTAGAAAGGCCAAACAGAATTAGTCACTATTCTTGATGAATGGGCTAAGTGTTTTTAATCATAAAAATCATGACAGTTACTCAGACCAAGGCATTTAAACCAAGTCAACAGCACCTTCAGATGGGAACACCATGCGTAACTCTTTTGGAAAGTTAGGGTTTTCTAAATACAAGATATTTCCGTGGATCAAAGATGATCAAGCTTTCTGTGTATTAGAACAGAAAGTACCCAAGAGGGACAAGCCAGGAGAACAAACTAATTCCTTTCAATGAAAAAATGCAAATGTCCTTCACCAGTAAAACAAGCAGATTTTTAAATCCCCATTTTTCAAATCTACTTGTTCAAAGAGTCTTCAAAGGCAACTGAGAGGGGGGACAGATTTTTCATTGTAACAGTGGAAGCTGTCTGATAGTTAGGATCTATTAACATGCATTTTTAACCCTTTTCTTAGATTAAAGAGGTAACTTTTGGCAGTGTATTTTAACCAGAGGGAAATGATTTGCACTACTCCCAGCATCTACTTTCCTGTCAGCTTTAATCCACCTGAGAGAAAAGAAAAAAAATGGATAATTCAAATGCATATATAATTTATAAACATTGCAAAAGAGGGCCACTTTGTTTCTGCAGTCCTAATATTAACAGTCTGCCACAGAATGCAGTGCAAGTATTGATTGGCATATGGTAATAAAGAAGCCATAGGCTTAATTTACAGACCTGTGATGTATAGAGCATATTAACCTAATAAAATTTAATTTTTCTGGGTAACTCTTAAGAGAGAAATCACTTAAATTATTTTTCTATTCCATATGCTTTTGTAATCCAAAATATATTTCGATCCAAAATAATTCAAATTTATGCGTGGTGTGTGTATATATACACACACTTTTTTTTTTAAATTAAATTTTTGAGGCTATACAGCCACTGTGCCTATGGTCTGAAGCCATGTATATATTATATTTGATTTAACGTGTGTGTGTGTGTACACACAAATACATGTATATGTAGCAGGTATTGGTATAAAATATATACACTTTGTTGTCTTATTGGTTATATGTGAAATTGTTCATTTTGAAATAACCTCGGGCCACGACTTGTAGCAACTATTTGAAGGCCTTACTTAGTGTCCCCTTGGTGACTCATGCAGTAGCTCAAATTAAACCATTGTGCATTGGGTTATGAATAATCTTTTGTTCCAAAGAAGGCAAAAGCCTCAATCTGATTTAACACCAAAGAATAAATTTCTCTGACTTTCTAAGTAAATCTAAACACATTCTATTGACAAAATGGACACATGGGGGATTTTCTAAATACCATACATAATTACACATTTTCACACTTAGAGGGTAATCCTATGATACAATTTCGATCTCTATTTTTAAAGACTATCACCAGAAAAGAGAGAAAAGAAAACTCGTAAGAAAAAGAAAATGTGAAAATGATCATAGGCTTGGGAATTCCCTCAAATCCAGAAAATTCCAGGTTAAGGCTTGAAGTTGAATCATTCCCAGGACTAGCTCTAAAGTTAACAAAAGTACAAGGCAAACAATTTCTTTGGGGACAAGCAGCATTATTTCAATCAGACCTTCTCCTGCAGGGTAAAATCATCCTCCCCACACTGTGAATGGACTCCAAGTATCGTAATAAGCAGGTGAACTCACAAGAACCAAAGCTGACATATGGATAAAAGCAGCAAGATCACAGTACACCAAAGTATCATATATATTGGAGAAATAATTCAGTGTCTCAGATTTTTCTATAAAAATTTGTGATCTATATAGGACTTCATTCACATGGACACTAACGATAAGGAGGAGTATTTGCTTTGGCGGTAGTGGATAACACATCTGCTTATCTTGCTTTTAATATTTTTTTTTTTTACATAATGTTTCTGAGTATACAGATGTGAGTCAGGTAGCATTTGAATTCCCCACATATACACAACCGAGGTGCCCCGCAACCGGCATCCCCTGGGATCCTTGATTCACTGACGTTAGCCATCCGAATCCAGTGTCCAAACTCAGAATAATAAGCTTAGTTTCTGCGTTATCAGTCAGCGTAAATAATAAATCCAGAAAACGTGCTGTATTTGTTGTTATTCCCTCCGTGGGCTTTCCCGCCATCTAATTTGATGTACACTTCGTCTCCTGGCTCCAAATGAAGAACGACACTGTTACTGGCGTAGTCGTAATTCTGATCAGCGTCTTGGGCGATGGCGCTGGCTCGCACCTATGTGAAACAAACAAGAATTAGAACCTGTAGGAGGCAACTCTCGGGTTGTCCTTGCTGCCATTCACACAGCATCAGAAGCCGACCTGTGCTGTGGCACGGAATTCGGCATGGGCGTCGGAGCTCCGGGAGGATATCTTTCTAAGAGTCTCATCTGCGTCGCTGGAAAGGAGCAGAAAGATTGTAAGGTGCTATGGCGAGGGTCGGTCCAGCAGCCTTCTCCTACTGTGTGCTGTAAACAGCGCACACCACGCTATCCCCTTCCTAAATCAGCACTTTTTCTCATTCCTTGAATCTCTAGGCCCAATCACTTCTTGAAATGGAAATAAGGGTAACTTTTGTGCATTTTAATTTAAGCCAATTAGCAATATTCTAAGCAGCTGTTTACGAGGACAGAGGTTCAATCTGAACTTCAGCTGGGTCCCCACGCTTATTAGAAAATGGAGATCCTTGGCAGTTGAGACTCAGAGAAATAACACGACTCCAACTCTACTGTATAGGGAGGGAAAAAAAAAAAAGAAGAAAGCCTTTTGATTTGGGGCTTTCGAAATCTAATTCAGGTAAAGCCTTTTTTTTTTTTTTTTTTTGCCAGAAACCCCCGTTTAAAATGTCACCTAAGTTTGCAGGGTTCATTTTGTTATTTGTGCCTTTTTATTACTTACCTGTGATGTGTGCACTTAAATAAATTATTTAATTTTGACATATCTAAAAGTTATAGTAGGAACTAAGCTTTGAGGCCTCTAAAATGTCTAAAATTTTTTAATGATGTGATTGAATACCCTTTTCCATTTAGGTGATTCTGAAAATGTGTGGTTTGCTTTGAGGATGGAAGTTGCCTATAATCCACTCGTGCTGAGCCTGTGATCTTATTAGTGTGTTGATAGACATTTGCAAACAGTCAATTTGCCTATCATTTCAAGTAATATGGACATTCTGTCACATCCTCAACTCAAATTAGGCTTCAGATTCATTGAGCTATATTTTGATTCTGCCTTGAAAAAAAATTTCAATAGGCACACTTGTATTTGTTTTACTTCAGTAAAACATCTTCTACTTTGTGGCTTGTTCCTATTCTACTATAACGGTATTCCCCCAAATAACATAGCAAGTGATTTAGTGGTTCTGTAAACCTGCATTATGTAATAATGCATGACTTGGGGTACAATATGCTGGATTTTATCACTTGGCAAAATGAGGGAAATGAGACATGTGAAGAATTTCCATGCATTTCTTTCAAAACTTAAATGATAGGTTTTCAAGTTAAATTTTCATGTGGTATGCTCCCACATTAATGCTGAAATGTTAAAAAAGGAGAAGGCTCTTTGACACTGCTGAACTTGTAAAGTAATTTGAGTAGTATTTTAAAAATTTCTTTCTGGATATTGTATAGCAGAAGGAGAAAGGGGCTTAAAGGATTTAGAATTGCTTAACAGTGTGCTGACATTAATACAGTGAATGCAATATACCAGGCAATTAGGCTCCGAAACACTGACTCAAATGTATACACCAATTCAATGAGGTGATCTGTTTGGACCGTTAAGTAATAATAGAATTTAATGATATAATACTTCCTAGAAATTAATCAGAAGTTTGTAGGAGTTGAGTGCTTTGATTCATTAATTTCATCTAGTCATTAATTCCCTGGGAAAAAAATCTACAAGGAGGATAGCGTGGTTACGACTTCACCTTTTTTTTTTTTTAACACGTGGACTTCTAATGGGTGAGAAAAATTAAAATACAAATTAGTAATTAGCTATGTCAGTAATATATTAATTAATTAGCAATCCATAAATATGCTTTTCAGCTATTATTAATAAGCAGACACATTTTATTTAGTGCTTTAGGTATTTAATATATGCTCTATGGGTATTGTGCTGTAACACTGTTTTCTATATAAAGGCATTTGGGAACCAGTACTCATTAAAATCCCTTGATTTAGAGACAATAGTCTTAAATATATATATAATGCAGTTTTGATTCTACAGGGTATGAGCAGAAAAATCATGTAAATGTGACCATTTTTATTCTGTAGGTACGACCACAAAAACTTACAAATGTATTAGTGTGATTCCACAGACTAGAAGGTTACCTTATGGTTTTTCACTTCCTTTGTTGTCTGATTGCTTTTTAATGAAAGTTATTCTCTTAAGATTTTAACCTATCCTGTACCACGAGACTCTCCCAATTAAATAACTGCCATACTCCAGTGTACTTTGCATGATTTTAGTATGCCTGCTAACCTGATCCTACTCTAAAGGTATAATGGAACTTGAAATTTCAGGCTCTAGTAATCAGCTTGGTGACTTCCAACAATTCTCCCTTTAAGCCATCAAACTACTGAGGAAGGTAATGCATCCACCTTGGAGACTATTTTCAGGTTCCTAAATGTACACCGATTTCAGCATTTTCTCCGGGACTATGATGCATCCTTTCCTTAGCCCGATATTTCTGCCTAAATGTACTCTACTATCTTTTCATATTATAAGTTAACTATTTAGATCCTGCTTGATCTGTAGTGTGTGTTTCACCGCTTTTAAAAAGATAATGTTAATTTGACATTTTGTTAATCTCGCTAATGAATGAATATCAACCCACAAACTATTGTTTCCAACATATCTCATGTTCATTGATGCTATAATTAATTAATGCATTCTTAGAATAAAACCAGGTCTTTAATTATTTTATAGTTCTAATCTCAAGCCTCTTTTAGCTTTTATTATAGTGGCTTATTATAGTGGTATTACAGTGACTGTATTCACATAGCAATTTTTGAATTCAGGTTTTCTGCTAAAGGTATACGAACACATTAAAATTATATTTCCTGTCTCTCTGTAAAGCCATCCGAGTCCAACTTTTACCTTTCATATGCACTGTCATGGGCTCTCAACAAATGGTATGATTAATTTTGGGTTGATGGTTTCATGCGGAATATGAGAACTGTGATCCTTTTAGTGGCATGTTTGTGAGAACATAGAAGCTCGTGTGGCTTTAGCATTATCTTATTAAGGAGGGTTTATCATTAGAGACAATATTTATGGTAACATTTGCTAATTTAATTAATTGCTACTGATGCTCTCATAATTTCATTTTCATTGTACTTCTGTGGAATCATAAACAAAAGGTTAAGTGGTGCATCAGGTTAATTTACTGGCCTTTGATGTTTCCATCTGTGATCCTGCATTCAACACAAAGCATAAATAAAATGGTTCTCATATGGTTACAGTCCAGAGGCATTCCTCTATCCTAGAGTAAACTGCACTTTTAGTTTAATTTTTGTGCTTCTCAAATCCACCTAATCCATTGAACATTACACTGACACGGATCTCTGAGTTTCTGTTTTATGAAAACAAATTAGGTCTGCTCGGGGGGGGAAACTGCCATTCTAAGACGTGATCAGATAAGAACATAACTGAAAATCACTGATAAACTATTTAATATTAATAAAATAAACTTTATAAAATATTTCTCGTTTGCAGCTGTCTACAGATCAGACTTTACAAAATTATTCTAAGGATAAAATTCCTTCACATTAATATTTTAATAACGATTTTCCAAAATAGTCCATGCTGAAGTTGAAAATATATTGTTTGCTGCTACATATATTTTTCTGAATTGCTTGTTGCACACCTTTTGAAGAAGCAACAGCTTAATAATGCCAATGGAGAGCTTTATACATGATAAGGTCAGCTGGTTTGCCTTATTTTTTTTCCTGATCCTCAGAGAATGTGCATGCTAGGATGATACAAAGGAGCATACCACTCTCCAAACAATGAAATAATTTTAAAAACAAAATGCACCTAGAACATGTATATAAAATGGTTTTCTTGGAATCAGTTCGATATACCTGGGCTCAGCAGTTGAGATAGCAACCCTTAAACTAATTTAAATGTTTCATTCCCTGATTTTTCATGCAATTGAAATTTCCAGATATTTAAAGATGCGTTTTTATTCAGTGGCTGATAAAACTTGAATATTATTCCATCTTAATTAAAACCTCTAAAAACAATCCTTCAGCCTGACAGTATTTTCCAGACCTAACCTTTGAGTCAGAAGAGAGCCAATTTGTAAATAAATGGGTGCCGCATAGCTGTCTGCTAAGGGGCTTTTCAGAAACCATTTTGTAAACGTGATACAATAGCTCTATTTTGGCACAATGAGTCATGCCCTTTTTAGCCATTCCCCTATAACTATCTCACTGCTCTGTAAATAATTTTTCTTTATCTTAATATTATTTTTGTGCATAATAACTATCATAAACAACCCTGTCAGTGCCTCCTGGTGGCCATTTCCCCCCTCCTTTTTTTTTTTTCTTTTGGTTCTACCTGTCCTGTGGGGTCCTTGAGCTATTTATTTCTAAATTCCTTTAGAAATGAGGGGTAGGAGGAGCGGGGAGGGACAGGATTTTTTTTTTGTCCTTTCTTTCTTATACATTTAGAATATTTGTCTTTCACTTTTTGAGGAAAAAAAAACTGATACTGAATTGGGTCTTTGGAAGAAATCCTGCCTTAATGCTGCTTAATAGAAACCTGGGTTGTAACTGAAAAGGCCTGAATCCAAGGGGCGGGTGACCTGAGCCCAGTAGCCCTTGTTAAATCTAAGTTGGCCATTCCCTGTGCCACCCAATAGGCGAAATTAAAGCCAGAGAACTCAGCCGAGACTGCAGGCTGCGGGTCGCAAGGCCTCGCCCAGAGCGCGGCTGCTGATTCAGCGCGAGCCTCAGGTCCGATGACACTTTCCGGTAGTTACAAATACTATTTTCCTCCTCTAAGAGATCAAACACACTTTGGTCTTGCAGTGACCGCGAGTTTCTTAAGCAAGCGGTAAAGTGGCCCGCAGCATAAACCTGCAGACCCATGGCCCTAGTGGCAGAGCCGACCAGCCCCGGAGAGCAAGTCCAAGGGCTCAGGGCTAATCTGAGGCTAGTGCACAGTCAAGGCCAAGGCAACTGCCTTGTGAGAAGCCAGGGTTGGAAAGACCCTCACGCAGGCGGCCCAGGGGCTCCCTGGCGGTGAGGCCCATCGCCCCGGGGCCGGCTCGGCCTCTCGCCCTCCTAGCCCCTGCCTGTGCAGCCTCCTACTCCAGCCAGTGGAGTCTGAGTTCTGTGTTTGGGTGCGTGTTTTGCTGAGTACACCCATGAGTCTCAACTTTCTCTTTTGTTATCAGCACTCATTACTTCTCCCCCTTGTTCTCCTTGGGCTGAAATCTAAACCGCGGTTTGTGCCTTGAATTTGACGGTACGCTTGTTTCCCGGGTCTGGGACGCCGCAGGGGCCTTGCGACGGCGAGTCCCCGGTCCCTCTTCGGCCCCGGACGCGCCACACTTGAACTCGCTCCTTCGGGTCCCTTCTTTCTCCCGCGGGCCCCTTTCTCCCCCGAGTTTGTCACCCTGGCACGCCCATTTCGGGGCTGCCCCAGCCCTCCTATTCCAGGCAAAGCCTGAGAGCGACCCCACGCCGCTGAGGATCCCACAGCCGGGGGTCGCCTCCTGCTCCGGACTCCCTGGTGCACAAGCTGTCCAGGGGACCGAGCTCCCGGCTTCCCTACCCTCGAGGGTCGCGCTCACACTCGCGCGCTCTGAGTGCAGGTCCTAGCTTGGGAACCGCCCTCTCCAGGCCTCCGGGCCCCCGCTTTGGCTCACGACCCCCGCCTCCCCAGGAAGTAATAGCCTCCCCTCAGCTCCGCGCCCGGGAGCCCGGCTGCCTTGCCCTTCCTCCGCGGGCTCCCACCTCCATTTCCGGGGTCTCCTCCCTCTTGCCTGCACCTTCCCGCGCTCCCTCCCCGCCCACCCCGCTGCCTGCCGGCACTCACCTGGTTGTTTTTGCAGAGATCAGCCCACATGCTGGTGCCGTCCCCTCCGCGCATCAGGACGTGGTAGGTGAAGAAGTAGATGCCCGGGATAGAGCAGGTGAACTTGCCCGTGGTGGGATCGTAGTGGTTACCGAGGTTGGTGACCACGTCGTCGAACTTGAGCACCTCGTAGCCTTCGTGCTGCCGCTTGAGGCCGGCGTAGAAGGCGATCTTGGGCACCGTGCTGTAGGTGGCGGCACTGATGGCCCCGGCCGCGTTCAGGCCGGGCGCCCCGGGCGGGCCCGGCAGGCCTTGGCGGCCGGGCTCGCCCTTCTCGCCCGGAGGGCCCACGGGACCCGGCGGCCCGGGCTCACCGGGGGGCCCACGCGGGCCCGCCTTCCCCGGCCTGCCGGCCTCGCCTTTGGGGCCCTGGATGAAGGTGGGCAGGGACTGCATGAGGCCGCGGTCGGGCGTGGCGGCGGTGCTGGGCGCCTTCGTGCCCCCATAGGGGTCGCAGACCATGCGGCAGGTGCCCAGCATCTCGTAGTGCGCCGACGTGCCGGCCGAGCTCACCAGCACCGGGATGAGGATGACCAGCAGCAGCACCATCACCACCCCCAGCGCCCCGGCGGCGATCAGGCGCCTCCTGCTGCCCACCAGCCGGCTCAGCGCGGGGCGATCCTCTTGTCTGCTTTTGGACAAAATTTTGAAGGTTGGGCGGGGACCTCCTCAGAGCCGAAAACAACCCCCTGCGAACCCCAACTCCCCTGGGCGGGCGCGCGCCGGCCGCTCCCCGCCTGCTCCCGCTCCTGCTCCCCCTGCTGAAGCTGCGGCTGGGGAGGGAGCTCGGACGCCAAGTGACTTGAGCTGAAGTCCCGGGCTGGGGGTGGGGGCTGGGGGAGGGGTGCGCAGGGCGCCCTCTCGCCTCCCGCGAGCCCCTTCGCACCTGTGGCTGCCGCCGGCGCCGGCGCGGCCACCCGGAGGGCAGAGCCTGCCGCCGCCTCTCGTGCTGGCCCGGGCAGCTCACACTTTTATGCTGCCGCTGCCTGCGATCGACTTTTCCGTTTTTGCCGACTGCGCCAGTTCGCACCAACTTTCCGTCTGAAGTTGCCTTTTTCTGCCTCCTTCTTTCCTTCTTTCGCTTGCTCCGTTCGCCCTTCCACTGCCTTTCTCCCCCTCCTTTGCCACCACCACAACTCTAATAGATGCGCACCCCCAACGACCGGCGCTGGCCGCGAGAGCTCGGGCCAGCCGCCCCCCGGGTGCGCGGAGCCGCGGCGGCGGGCACGGTCAGCTCGGCGAGGCTCCGGGCTGGAGCGGAGGAGCTAGTGAGCAGCGACGAGCGCCTCGCCGCCGGGAGCGGAGCGAGAGAGACACTGAACGCAGAATTCTGCCTGGGTACCACCTGCCAGGAGAAGAGGAGGCTGACAAACGCGCGCCGGAGCAATTTATAGGCACCCAAGGCACAGAGGAAGGGGAGCCGCTTTGGCATCTCACTGTAGCATCTGCTCTGCTCATCCCACTCAGAGAGAGTTTGGCATTACTCTGACAATGTGGGATTTTTTTTTCCCCCCAGCCTCTCTTTTTTTTTTCTCTCTGCACATGGATGAACAGTGAGATCGTGAATACTCCCTTGCTGAACCCAGGTGATGGCAGAGCTCTCGCTGGACATACCTGGGGGTGAGGGAGACAGATGTGCAACAGCCTTGGGCACTCGAAGGTCACACCTAAGCCCTCTATTTCCCCAGGGCTGGCAGCGCCAGTTGGAGGGTGGAGGTGAAGGTTGAAAAGAGGGTGGCTCGGTCGACAGTATTTCTCTGCTGGCTCACCCACAATCAACCGGTGCTTCAGGTGTTTTTCGAAATGCCACTTTTAACATCAGAAGGGCCCTTTAGAATATTCCAGATGGGTTTTTTTTTTCAACCTTATGGTTTTCCTCACCAGCCTTCTAAAATGAAGATGTTACCCAGAGAACAGTAAGGTGCGTTGAAAAGCCAAGGGACGTTTTGAATGATTATGAATGAACAGGCCCACCACATAATGGGGGAGGGGGGGTTCTTTTAACAAATGCTGCAGATGGTGAGTATATACTCCGTCCTCTACTTACAGGATTACTGTTCTAGCTAACTATCTGGAGTTAGTGCCATTGGACCTGAAGTTGCACTACATGAATGAGAAATAATCACTTGTTTAAAATGTCTTTAAAAGTCTTAAGACAAACCAAGCAGCCTTTACAAAAGTACTGGGGCAAGATCTTTTCCTAAGATATGGAAAGTGTCCTCTAGGCTTCACAGCACATTTCCTGCACGTACATTGAAGCATGGGGCAAAAAGGGGGAAAAAAAACATGAGAAAGAAGAGCCCCATTTGCAGTGGGAGAGCAGGAGAAGGAAAAGCGTGGTTTTGTAGTATCAATGTAAAAAACCCCAGAGTAGATATTAGGCAAGTTATCTCACTAACAAATACATAAGACGCACAAGAACAGCTTTAAATAAACAAGTGGAATTGATTTGTAAATCATATTTTTGTATTCAGGAGCAATGGATGTCAATCAAACGCAGATGACATTTCCTTGTCAATACGGGGATGATGGCTGGGAAGGTGGCGACTTATTAAACCAGGGCAAGAATCTGAAATGAGAGGCGAGAACAAATAAGACCGCCGCAAGCAAACAATAACAACCCTGGGACCCTGCCTGGGGCCTCCACAGCACACGCATTTCCTTGTCTGTTCCTTCTGCCTAACTTCCAGGCCATGCCAATTTAGTTCTTTCTTTCCTTCTTCTCTGTTTCAAAACGAAATAAGGTCAGATGAGCAGGCAGAAGAAAACCAAGATTCACTGATTCATTTAAGAGAAATGTCAGCAGTTCTTTTAGGTCTTTCCAGGGAGAATCAAGAGTGAGGCCCGGGGTCTCCGTATTTTCTCTCCCTCTGGCTGCAACTGGATGAGAATCCTTCCCACTCCTCAAACCTTTACCTTTTTGGGGTAGTGCTTTCAGAAGTGTGTGTCTATGTCTTGGGCGTAAGACTTGGGTTCACAGGAGGTACCTTATTTTCCTCTGTTTGAGTGGCAGACACCTAGAAAGTTCTCCCCCGGCCACAATACCTATTTTCTTAACACACCATGTGGGTTGCTTCTCAAAAGTCACCTTTCTTTTGGGGGACAAAATAGTAAAGGGTGGGAACGGCCATGAAGGTTAATGTGTTAATCAAACTCTTTTCCAATCCACCAAGTTATCAAAATTCGTAAGATCTCATCGCTAAACAGAGTCCAGTGGAGGATAAAAGGGTCATTTTTAAAAGGTAGTGTTGAGGGCGCCTGGGTGGCTCAGATGGTTGAGCATCTGCCTTCGGCTCAGGTCATGTTCCCAGGGTCCTGGGATCGGGTCCCGCATCGGGCTCCCTGCTCCTTGGGAGCCTGCTTCTCCCTCTGCCTCTCTCTCTCTCTCTCTCTCATGAATAAATAAATAAAATCTTTAAAAAAAAAAGGTAGAGTTGAATAAATAAATGCTCATTGAAAACCTCAAGATATACTTCCATTGAAGACTGCTCATCCTAACAGAGGAAGCCAGTGAGGATACCATGAAATGGTAGAGCGGGAACGAATGCTAGGAAGCTCTTCAGTACCTGCTCACTTTCGCGGATGGTAAGTGTGAGACACAGCTCTGAGCAGGAGAGAGGCCGCCCAGTGTGTGGCCAATACACTCTCCTCTACCCCGCAATCTCAGACCTCTGGGACAGACCCTAGTAATGGAGGCATTTCTCTTTCCACCATCTCTAATGCTAAAGCACAGCTTGGTTTTACAAGCGAGGGCACCAACACCTTAAAGGTCTGCTCAGATATGGAAAAGTGCTCTGTAGGCATCATGCACGATGCAGGCAACATTTCCCAGGTCACATGGCTGACCCATTTTTCCAGTGAGTGCACAAACCCAGGTGGCGCATGGACAGTTGGCTTTTGAGTGAAGTCAGTTTACATTATCGATCTCCTCCCTTTTCTCTAGAGGTGTCCCACCACGTGCTTTGGGAGAAATTTTTGTTGTTGTTGTTCAGGGATGACTGGGTAGTAGATGAACTAATGGCTGGTGGCTGCCACTTTCCACTGCTTGAATTTCTCAGAAGGTTCTCTGGAAAGTTACTCACGCTTCAGCCCTTATTCTGACAGTTTGAATAAGCCATCTGATGGCATATTACTCATCATCTCTATATGTATATAATAATAGAAAATGTGTCAATTAAAAAAAATATTTGATTCTCTTCAGCCCTCATCAGAGAAGCAAGTTTTCTCTCAAAGTTGATATTAATCTTGGAAGCAAGCCCTGGGATCTAATTTTCCCAATCGTGTCTCAAGAAAACACAAGGCTCTATGTTCCCATTTCCTTCTGCACCTGTGCCTTCGTGACCATTCAGATCATAAAGTCCAATACAGAAACCCGGGATCTGGGTTGGATGATGATCCAGTAATTTTCATCTCCCCGCCTCATTTCTGTCTCTTTCGGAGAACCGAGCAGATCCGAAGCCACATGACTCCCACACAGACCTGCACCACCATCCATTAATCTTTATTGAGCGCCCACTGGCAGCACCGCCCTACACTGGGCTCTTGCTAGTCAAACAAATCTTTAGTCATGAGAATGATTTCCAAATCCAGCAGTACTTAACCAGAAATAGCATTTATAAGAGGAAAATAACATGTTAACAAACCCAAGGACTATCTACAGAAATAGAGATAAAAAGAGTAAAAAAAAAAAAAAAAATCAGACTGGGATCAGCTATTTACCTTTGCTTCCTGGATCTCCAAATTATATTTCAGAACATACACTCCTTTGACTGAAGACTTATAGATTTCTAGCCAGAAAGGGTCTCCCTGGAGTAATGTAGGGAAGTAGTATATCCTTATGGCTTTGGAATCAGATGGGTCTTGATTTGGATCCTGGTTTCCTCATTTAGTTGCTATGAAAGTTACTTAACCTCCCTGAGGCTTAATTCCCTTTTCTCTAAAATGGGAATAACACGAATACCTAACACTAATGTTGTGAAGACTGAGCGAGTTAATGCATATAATTACAATGATACCCAACTCAGAACCAGAGCCCAATAAATGTCAACTTCCATGTTCATTTGCTGTAGGACTGCTGAGTAGTGGGTGGGCATGTGGGCTGGACAGTCGAACACAGGCTTAGTAAAGGAAGCTAAAGGGTCAGACTTAAGACAGATGACATCAAATGAATACTAAATGTCATAGATTTAGACAAAATTAGAACACCCAAGTTCCCCAGGAGAGTTGCCTGTGTGTACTATTGTATAATATCAAAACAAAGTAAGACAAAACTCAACACAAGGATCACTTCACCCTTCTCCAAAGTAAGAGGAAAAAAAAGTTTTATAGCAAGATAATTTTAATTCACTGCAGTTTGACAGACCAAGATTTTTGGATTTACAACCTAGTAGGAAGCATTAAAACGTGTTTTCCCCTGCTCTGGAAAGTTCCCCAAGTCAACAAGTTGCAAGTATATTTAAAAATCACTGATAGTTACTCAGGAACTATTCCTGTGGATGATGATCCTCAAGAAAAAGTGAACATATGAGAGAGGGCTGCTTTGAGTTAGCCAGAAAAGCAATCACTCTGAAGGACACCTAAGTCATAACCACATACAGTAGGGAATTTTCAACAAAAAACTCTCTACGGGGGATAGTGAGTTGGAAAGTTAGCTTGGCAAGTCTATTGTCAGAAAATTACTGAATAGCCAGAAGGAGAGATGGTAACCAGCACTTTACCTAAGGCTTGGTTACAATGTATGGCTTCAAATTGGTCTCAAATTCTTGCCATATCAATCAAGACAAGGATGGAATCTCTAGAATGGATATGATATTTTATACTTGCTTTCCATGGGTGGAATGTTCAGTCCCTAAGACCCTATTTGATGTAGAACTGAAGGAAAAGTTACCAAGAATGAAGTCTAAGGGGGTCAGCCAGTCTTCCCAAGGGACAGTCATGATACCTCAGCCATACAAGGAAGATGGGTGAATTGAATTCAAGAAACTAAACACAGCTGCCATTAGACCACAGGGAATTTCAGGCAGAAAATACATCATAGGAACACAGCTGTGCAGCACACAGACCGACCAGGTAGGCAGCGGTAAAAACTGGGGTAGTCTTATTGTTTTGTTTCTTTTGTTTTGTTTTAAAATTCTAAAGCATCATGAATCCTGAGAGGACTTACAGAGAACAACCGACAGAGCCAGACCTTGCCAAGAGCAGCTGATCTTCTAGAATATCCTAGAATCTGGCTCTGAGAGAAAGTGGCCTGGAGTTGATATGAATATCAAGGGAAGGTGCATTTGGCCCCACTCCTACATGGGTGTGACCCCAGAGCAACTCACCTTCAAATATGAACAATTTGTCCTGTGAATAAATACTGCATTCCTTGGGTATTTGTATGTGAATAGACATATCAGCTTTTCCCTAATTCAGGCAACCTCTTGGGGAAAGTCTTAAACCATACAAAAATAGGTACAATTTGAAACCATAATCCTAAAAATAAATTGC